TTTATTTATTTATTTATTTTTGGGGGGGGATTTTTTTTGATACCCACGACTTTTACCCACACCCACACCCACGACCCACGATAGTTAGCTATTAGTCATACTCCATAACTTCATCATAATTTGTAAGTATAAAATGAGACAGTTGAGCTTATTATTACTATAGTTATATGGTTATTTAACAAATAAAGGAGCCTCGACTGTACTCTGGTCTGTTGTAAAGCACTTGGGAGGCGGTAGAGCACGAAAGATGTCTAGGGATAAACACGAGACGAGGTGGAGTGTTTTTCCCTATTTCCTGCATGTTCTACCGCTTCCTAAGTGCTTTACAACAGACCAGAGCACAGTCGAGGCTTTTTTTAGTGATTTTATTATAAAGTATTCACAAATTTCCCTACACATTCAGCTAATATTTTCAAACCAAACGTTATATTTTTACCGAGGAAAAGTGGTGTAAGCGTGCATCTGCACTCTAATAAAACACGCTGAAATAAGCTAGTCACAATCCTTGTTAGAAATGTTCAAATAATTTGATTGGATTATGAGACAACAGCTGTCAATCACAAACTGGACTTTAGCTACTTTCGGTTTCGAGTGGCTTTCGAGAGAAGAACGATCGCTTCGAAGTTCGCTTTTTTCGCTTTGTAGTTTAATTTAAAAGTACGGACCTAAAAATAATTTCTTATCCAGTGGAATCCAGCCGCATGGTTGCTCAAGAAAACGTACACTTTTCCAATGGAAATTACAAAACAAAGAGTTCAAAGCTTACGGATGAAAATTCGAAAGGCTAATGTTGACATTAGTATCAAAGTTCGTGAAATCGAAACCGGTTTCAGTCAAAGCGAAACCCTATACTCTTGCTCGTAGGGTCAGACTGAAGTTCTAACATATCAACCAAAGACCGCAACAAGCCGAGCAAAAGATTCGCTGTTTAACGTTTCAATTACAACTTCTTGTTTGATCTCTTCTGGAAATATTTTAAAAGGTCCATTACTCATGCAAAGAAAACCACTAAAGAGAAATCTCTATATTAAACCCTAGTATGACTGAGAGTTAGTTACCTTGTCAAAGATGAAGATTTGATAAACTTTAGTAATGTTCCATACGTCAGTCGTGACAAATAACAATATTATTGGCCCAATTTTTCCAGTAGTTTTAGTGGTTTAACTGGCCAACTGCAAAGTAAACAAATTTGGAAAAGGTAAAGATAAAAACCAACTAAACGAATAACATAATTGGGCTGATCTGCACCACTTTAAAGCCTCTAGTTTGATTCGTTCTTGTTAATCTGCACTTACTTTGTTCATAGGGCTTGGAGCAATGTTTTTGTTGGATGTCTACTGTTGCGCTTGAGAAACTAGTCCTACGCGCACTTATAATTGTCTTTGAAATAGAGGATTGAGCTTTCCTGCCTCTTTTCTGCTTTGAGCTACGCGCTAATCATTCACCATGTTTGTCATGTCTACTTGTACTGTGCGTGGCCTCTTTGTATTCGAAAGATAAAAATACAATGAACGTTTGTTGAACTTTGTTATAGTCTTTTGTGGCTGGTGTCACTTCTCCACCAAGTCATAGAAGCAAAACATGGCAAGAAGCGAGGACACAGGGGTGATTACACGTTTTCGTGAAATGCTTCTGAGATTCATTCTGCCCATCCTACGTTACGGTTTCTGGCCGTGCTATCACAAGCGATTTTTCATGTCGCTAGGGAACCTGAAATGTCAGTCATCTGCCGCTCTCAGCCTTATCTGATGAGCTGAGGGCGGTAGACGACAGACATTCCAGGCTAACTCGCTCATGAAAACAGTTTGTCGTCCAACTTGCGTAGACGAGCGGGCAAATTTCAATAGAATTCTCACGTGGCTTTTAAGGCAATGAGGAGCCTTTTGTTATCAAGCATTTGACCTTTTTCCTCTATTTTTGTGCCTCGTCAAATGTCCAACTATATGTGCAACTAAGGCCGTACGCACCAGGCGGACAAAATTTACTTCGCGCTACCAAAAATCGCGACAAAACTCTCCTTCAAATGTTTAATTTGGTAATTGTAGGGGCAATCAAAAAAACAGTAAAATATTTGTTATTCACAAAGTGTGAATCACATGGTAATTGAACACCTTCTGATCAGTAGACGCTAAGAACTGAAATGCGAGATCAAATTTACTTGATTGGCGTTTTCCTTCAGGTCATGAAGTGAAATCACATGCTAATTGAACACGCTCTGATCTGTATACGCCTAAGAACTGAAGAGCGAGATCAAATTTACTCGATTGCCGTTTTCCTTCAGGTCATGAAGTGAAATCACATGGTAATTGAACACTCTCTGATCTGTATACGCCTAAGAACTGAAGACGCTCTGATCTGTATACGCCTAAGAACTGAAGAGCGAGATCAAATTTACTTGATTGGCGTTTTCCTTCAGATCATGGCGTGGAAAATTTACATTCCAAACATTATCAGTTTTTGTAATGCGAATTAATTTATTGAAAAAGCGCAATCTGTCTCGAAGATATAAAGTTTGGGAGTTTGAATTTTCTCCGATCTTGTCACTATTTTAGAACATTTACAAAATTCAGACCTTATCACTTCCTACATTGCGATCGACTACAGTAATTAGGCATCTGACATCACGGTCAACTTTTTCAGTTTTTGTTTGCATCGAGCAAAGCCGCTCTCGCGACTTTCCTCCTCCATCGGCAAGGCAAGAGAACCTCCTCGAAGGCTATAGTGCGATCTGTTAGTGTTTCCCTCTTCTTTTAACCTGTCTATAAAAGATCACCAAGCATGATCAAGCAATCTTCTCAACTGGTTCTCTGAGTTTGACTGTGAGACACTGGTGTGTTCAGACGAAAGAATGAACGATTCTGTTAAGGCCTCAAAATGTACAGGTACCATACCAATTTATTCCATGAGCTACCTAGCCAAAACATTTTAAATGAATTAATGGACTACGGTTATCGCTTTGCTATAACTTGATTTGATTGAGGGGAAGGAGATTTCTAACGGGGAATGTCGCTGCCTTGCAAAATTTGTCACGAGAAAACGTCGATCACGTTTAACGTGAAAATGATTAAAAAAGATTCCATGCTGATAAGGAAAGCTTGTATGTGTAGAGACGTTTCTCAAAGCAGGGTTTCTTTCTTCTTACAAACTTAAGGCAACATCCCGTAATGGAAACTTGTACATATCATCAACTAATTCATGCTTGACTCACCTGAATAGCCATAAAGGAAAGTTATAAAGGGCTTCGACGTTCATTTCGACATGTTTGATTATGGTCTCGTCACGTGACAGATATCTGTATGAAATATGATCACGTGGTAGATTGTGTGCATTGTCACGCAATAAAAAATAAAATCAAAAACCATTCAGTGGATAAAGTCAAGAAACTGTGATATTATAGACGATAAATAAAGAAGACAGTTCTCCAAGTTTAAGGAGTGTGCGTTGTCCCAAAGTTGAGATATTCTTCGAAATGTTCCGCGCAAAATTATAGAGCCTCGCATGGAGCCGCCATGTTGGAGGACCTCCTTAGTCCTCCAATATGGCGGCCGGAAAATAGTGTAAACATCTGGAACTTATTTGGCTATCTAGGCAACTCATTATCTCAACCGAACCAAGAAAACATTTATACCAGTACTTTTCGTAATACTTTACTCCTAAAATGGCTAAAAATCACGAGATAAGTGTATATTTTTCGTCAAACGCGATCTTAGCTTCATGTCACGCACCGCCATAACTTCGAAATTCAAAATGCGCTGGTTTCCGAACAAAGGACGCTACTGAGCTGGAAAGTTGTAAGCAGATATAAATTTAGTACCTCTTATACCTGATGAAGATAGAACCTTTAGGGTCTCTTTAGTTTTGGATTTGAGAATTTGATGACGTCACGTGAACACACTCTATTGATTTTGTCGCCGCGTACGGATTCGCTAACGTGTTTACATCCTTGTTACCACCCAATGAAGTCGGAGGATTTTCGGCTAAAGACAGTAACATTTAGCTGATCCCCCCTTTAAATGTTATTTTATTGAAGTGGTCCCCCCTCGTAACTCTTGATAAATTTCGTGATTCCCTCCATGTCTTCGCACACATATTCACCTTTCAACGTGTATATCTAGTACTTTTAGCGGTGATTTACATGAAAGTACTATTTCTAACAATGATTTTCTAACAGTGTAATGAAGCCGCCATGGTGCAGTCTCTTGATCCGTGTCTTTTGCTAGTCTGGATCCCGATATCTGATAATTGAGCTTCAAAACATCATAATGAAAGGAACTCAAAACAAGGAAAACTGGAGGGCGCTTATATATCCAGGGGAGGGCTTATAAGAGCAGGGGCTTATACTGAGCGGCAGTTTACAGTATATCGGCTATTACTGACGGCGACGTTCTATAAATACTATAATTTACGTGTTGCATTGAAGGGCAATGAATAACTCTTTGCAAACAGGGTGTATGGTTTCAATAATACGGAAAATTTCAAAACGCCATGCGTGTGCTTCTGAACTCGTCTCGAACTCGTTAGGGTAACCAGTATAACGATNGGTGGGCATGTCAGAGTATCTTTGTTAATCTCGATTAACCATTTTAGTAATATATTCGATCAAAAACGTTCAAGATTTTCAATTCTCTACATTCGATTTCTAAACAAATACATCAGATCCGATAGTTAATATAATAGTAAAACAGACTCTCATTTTCAATGTTAGTAAATAACTCAAAGTTTTAAAACATTCTCTGCCATCAAATGATTGCTGGGGATATGATCATATGTGCTGTCGAGCATACGGCAGCTGTTCAGTTTGAGTCACAACATAGTTAGTAGAGGAGACCCAGTCTGCTGTGAGGAAGAAACGTTCCTCTGTGAACTTCAGTTGAGCGCACAACTGTGCTCTTGCCCTTTCATCGAATATGGGCAGACAAGTCGAATAACTACACGTCAGTTAACCTTGCAGGTTCTCTTCTCGCATTTAGGTGGATTGGGGCAAAGCGGTAAACTCGTAAATAAGCTAAGTAAAAACAAAAACATAGCGATGCTTTTCTGAAAGTTCTGGCTATCAATAGTCAGATTGCCAGGTTTTGAAGACATTTTGCCACGAAAAGCGCCTAGTTCTCGTTTACTGTTTTCAAGAAATTTGTTCCCAGAACCATATTTTATTTGAAGAACAATGGCACACTTGTCACGTTCGTGTATCTATGACGTAATGTTACCATATATGTTACCATGTATGTTATCTGAGATGGAAGTAAACAGAAATCCCTCTTCGTGTCAGATTCTAGTAGTCTTTTTCTAGGGACACTCTCTCGCGTTCGGGCATTTTTCAAATCCCCTGCGATTAATAATTTTCCCTGATCTCGGCGAACTCAAGACAAAAGAGAGGGTCTGTGGACAGACTAGTAAGATTGGTCAAAGAAGAATCCTCCAAGGTTGAAGTTCTTGATTTTACTCCACTGACTTTCTAGGGCGACTTACAGATGGGCTCACGAAGGGCTTTAAAGGACCACTATCAACAGAGACCACTATCACGATCAGCCGCTTACAATTAGAGGTAGGTAATTGTGCAATTTATTTTGTTTTGCTAATTTCTCAGGTCAGTTTTGTTGCCAGAAGATACTTTTCAGGGTACAAGGTACTTTTCAGCGGGAGCATATTATCACTGACCCACTTGAAGACATTTTACATTCTTTGCTGTTGAACCGAGATCAGAAAACAATATTGTCATCCTTTCCTGTCGGTTGATTATATCAGCTATAGCAGTTATTCTTAACTTTGTAAGATCTTCAAAGAATAATTTAGGTAATTTTGTTAACGTACAAAATACTCCCTTAGTTAACTTTTATTCAACCTTTAATCCAGTTGAAAATCGAAAAGTGAAAACTGCCTTCGGAGATTATTTTTCAGTTCCAGCAAATGCCAGCAAAATAAGATCTGTTACAGAAGATTTTGAAATGAAGACTGCAAGTACAGCCACAAAAACGAATTGAGAACTTGTAATTACGATTGCTCGTAAATTGCAGTCTTACTTTAGAGAAATCTGTTTAAATTTCAGTGTTATACAGAGTGGACTATTATATTCTCTGACTAGTTCTGTATTGTTTTGTCTCAATTCAGAAAAGCTTTCAGTTGAGTGCACAGAAGCTCCATCAATTATAGGAGATGCAGTGATTCCTAACAGATCTTTCAGTCTTGCAAAGATTCCAGTGCAGTGTACAGAAAAGTCATCCTCAACGTTTGGATTAATGCCATACAGAATATTCCCATACTTAGAGTGGCGCCCACTACAGTGCAGCGAAATGTCCTTTTCCAGAGAATATTTGACACTGTCCTATTCAGCACAGCGATCCGTACTATGCGCAGAAATATTCTCGCCTAGTAAAGGCGATTTTATATCGTTCAGTGGAGGATCCGTGTATTCTGATAAGTTTCCAGCACAGTGTACAGAAATGTCGTTGCCCAGACGGGTTTTCCCATGGCTCGGTGGACAATCTCCGTATCTGAACGAATGCAAAAAAAATTCCTCGCCCAAATTCGACGATTTGCTATCTCTCCGTAAACGATCTTCGTATTCAAATAACCTAGTACAGTGCACAGAGATTCCCTCGTCTAAGGAAGCTTCGACATCGTTCAGTGACCGATCCTCGAAGTTGGTCAATCCTCCAGTAGAGTGCACAGAAATTTGCTCGCTCAAGGACAACTCCTCATGGCTCAGCTCGCGACCTCCTCATCTGGACAAGTTACCGATACAATGCTCCGAACTTTCCTCGCCTAAAGACGCTTTCTTATCGCTCAGTGGACGAACTGTGTATTACGACAAGTTTCCAGTGCAGTGCACCGAAATTCCCTCGCCTACATGTGATTTCCTATCGACAAGCACACTACCCTCGTATTTGGACAGGTTTTCTGTGCAGTGCACCAAAATATTCTCGCCTGCAGATGATTTCCTATCGACGAGCACACTACTTTCGTATTTGGGCAAGTTTTCTGTGCAGTGCACCGAAATCTCGCCTGCAGATGATTTCCTATCGACAAACACACTACCTTCGCATTTGGACAGGTTTTCTGCGCAGTGCACCAAAATCTCGCCTGCACATGATTTCCTATCGACGAGCACATTACCTTCGTATTTGGACAAGTTTCCGATACAGAGCACCGAAATGTCCTCGCCTGTACATGATTTCCTATCGACAAGCACACTACCCTCGTATTTGGACAGGTTTTCTGTGCAGTGCTCCAAAATATTCTCGCCTGCAGATGATTTCCTATTGACGAGCACACTACCTTCGTATTTGGACAAGTTTCCGATACAGTGTACCGAAATGTTCCCGCCTGTACAAGATTTCCTATCGACGAGCATCCTACCTTCGTATTTAGATAAGTTTCCGACACAGTGCACCGAAATTTCCTTGCCTACAGAAGATAAGCGCTCACTGAGTGGATGAGCAAGTTTTCAGTACAGCACAGCGCATTGCAACATTTCCAGTTGATAGCTTGTTTGGAAATTTCAAGTAAACAAGATTTCGTTTAGCTCAGTCGTAGATATTCTTTTCGGACAAGCTTCTAGTCCAGTGCGCGGAAAGCAAACAGTCAGAGTAAAAAAGATATAATTTGCTTAAGAATGTCAGTGAAGTTTCTCATTTTGCAAACATTCATTTTTTGATTTGAGCCCCAGGATTTGAGCATGCAGAAATATGATGAAACACCCAGACAAGAAAAGTCTTGACAATCTGCTAGAATTTTATTTAACGAATGTTAATTTCAAATGAATAACTATGAATGGTTCTATATAAAATTCTAATAAAGTTACTTGCTGCCACTTTCCTCGAATTATTCACATACTTGCCGTGTTACGTGTCTGAACGGGTTTGTAAAACTATACTGAACGAAATCGAAAGGTCAATTCTGCCGATGGCAGAGAGCCAGTTGTCCAAGGAATGCGCGTCTTCGCACGCAACGAAGGAATTTGGACCAAGGCAGTATTGAATCATCGTTTCTTCGTTAAAATCTTTAAAATTTCGTGGAATTTTATTTAACGAACGTTAATTTCAAATCAATTGCTCTGAATGATTCTATATAAATTCTAATGAAGTTACTTGGTGCCACTTTCCTCGAATTATTCACATACTTGGCGTGTTACGTATCTAAACGGGTTTGTAAAACCGGATACTGAGCGAAATCGAAAGGTCATTGCTGCCGATTGCAGAGAGCAAGTTGTCCAAGGAATGCGCGTCTTCGCACGCAACGAAGGAATTTGAACCAAGGCAGTATTGAATCATCGTTTCTTCATCGGTACAGAGGGAAAATCTGTAGAAATAGTAAAATAAAAGCATCAAAATTCCCGCCCAGAAACAATACATATCCTCAGGACGAAAGTAGCGAAATTAAATAATGCATTGCAACAGGCAACACGAATATGTATGTTCTCTTTATAAAAGAACACAAACGTGAGGTCGTCCGAAGCGCTTTCGTGTGATTAACGACGAAGGACTCACCTTAAACTGCAATGGAATTATTCCCTGAGCGATAGGTGAAAACAACTTTTCTAGAGTCATGATGTTCTCCAACCATTAGTTGTACTGACGTAGAGTGATTAGTATCCTTCGACGAGTTGTTGGACTAAATAGGTTAAGTCATGTGATGTGGTAAGTGTGATCCCATGGTTGATTGATTGACTGACTGATTGATTGTCGGTTTCTCCGAACTTCTTCATGCCTGGGGGAAAACCCACGGAATAATTTCAGACCATTTCAGCCCCAAATGTTTATGAAGATAGAGAAGCCACATTAACATCGGTCATTGCAATGTAAATATTAATGCTGAAACAAATGCGTAACAAAAAGTGCATTCCCTTGACCAAGATAGAATTCGTAAATCGCACTCGACTTTCTATTTGTACCGGCGAGTGTGCTGGAATGCAGTGGTTGGAATGCGAGAGACGGATATCTTGATTTCAAACAGTCTGTCATCTGATCTGAGACTGTAATCACACGACGCATGCCACGAATGAGCAAGATTTTACCATTCTAGCAAAAATTGATTGTGAGGAAATATCAAAGATGAATTCACTTTTCAGTCTTCATTGTGGGTGCTATAATCTAGCTGATCGCAGTTCCAAACAAAAGGCAGCTGAAGACGGTCGAGGACAATGCAGAGGAGGTTGGACACGCGCCGAATTGCATTATGGTAGAGGTAATTAACCAATCAGCAGCGTCTATTTTCTTGCAAGTCGATTTGGAAGGGATCGTCGTTCGAGGGATGAGGAGGATTTCTTGAGGTGTTTTTTCGGCGTTAACGAGTTAAGTGATCCAGTTGCTTGACGAAAAAGAAAGGTAAGGGTCTAAAGATTTAAGTTTTCGCTTTTTTCGACCATTTTGTCGAATTTTCCTGCCACTGTTGGGATTCAATTGTAGGAGAGTCCAAAATGGCGGATCGTGGTCACGATTTACGGTGTGCATAATCAACCAATTCTTGCTCCAAAACAATGGAGTTTTCAACCAAGAAAAACGTACCTTCGTATTCAAGAATAGATATAGTTTGTTTCTAAGACGTCGCACCCCATCGCACCTCTTACCGTTTTCTCGCAATATTCGTCTAAAGTTTGACATTTCTTTTGCGGTAAACAAGACAGCACTATCGTCAAACACTAAGGGAAACTTAGTTGTTTTCAGGGTATTTGTTTCTTTTTAACTCGATTTATATTTTTGCGGCTGTAAGATTACATTGATGTTATTATTTTTACGTCTGGTGCCTAGTAGATCACTGTATTTTTGCAGGTTAATGTTACTCAACGAGGCTATTGACCTTGAATTATTCAAGATCAATAGCCTTCTTGTTGCATCATTTATCTAGGCATAGCTCAATATTTCTTTACAATTGTTGTTCTCAACAGAGATCAGAGTTCACACAACTGATTTCCTTGTGGATATTAATAACTGGTGTTTTAACCAGGAGCTGTGGAATGAAAAGAGATAGTCCATCTTCAATGTCTCTACTATGTTGTAGCTTTGTGTATGCTTGATGAGTTTTCCTTTATGAGGAGAAAAGTTCTAGTATCAATGATTTACTTTCATGTTTTGGAAACCTGTTCTCCAAAATGTTATAATTTTAGCATATGATTGTTTAATGATGCATTTCTTGACTACCAGTTTTAGACTGTAATATAATGTTGATAATAAAATAATTTCAATTAAAGATATTGCTTTGTATTGTTTTGTTTCTGTAATGTACAGCTATTTGTTTGTCATCATCTGTTTTGCTTATGTGCATGTATTATGTACCTATCTCATATTCGTACAAGGCCCGGTGCAAAATCATCACTTTTGTGGTTGTCCAGAATCACCGAGTGATTATTGGTGTTTTCTGAAAGGACAGCCCAATTTGTCGAGGCAATTGAGGCCCAAGATAAACCCTAAATAATAGTCAACTCAGGTGTTTTGTCAAATACTGTGTAAATCTTACAACTTTTT